ATGGTGAAGGAGGAGGAGGTGGAGGAGGAGGAGGAGGAGGAGGAGATAGATATGGTGGGGGAAGGAGGAGGAGGAGGAGGAGAAGAAGAAGAAGAAGAAGAAGAAGAAGAAGAAGAAGAAGAAGAAGAAGAAGAAGAAGAAGAAGATAGGGAGGGGGAGGAGGTGGAGGAGGAGAAGGGTGAGGTGGTGGAGGAGGAGGAGGAGGAGGAGGCTTGGGCGACGACGACGACGTCAAAGAAGAAGAAAAAGAAGAAGAAGAAGAGGAGGAAGAAGAAAAAGAGGAGGAGGAAGAGGAGGAGGAGGAGGAAGAGGAAGAGGAGGAGGAAGAAGAAGAAGAAGAAGAAGAAGAGGAAGAAGAAGAAGAAGAAGAGGAGGAGGAGGAGGAGGAGGGGAGGGCAACGACGGGGGAAGTCGGGATCTGGATAGGGAGGAGGAGAAGGAGGAGGAGGAGGGTTGGGTGACGACGACGTCAAAGAAGAAGAAGGAGAAGAAGAAGATGCGGAGGGTGACGAGGGTGGCGAGGCCATAGAAGAGGGGTGTTTGTCTTTTTCTTCTCTGTGTTTTTTTTTTTCAATCAATCAATCAATCAATCAATCAATCAATCAATCAATCAATCAATCAATTCAATCAATGAATCGATTAGATTCGTTACTTGAATCGAGTCTTGATGTTGATTCGATTCAACAATTGATTGATTGAGGAGGAGGGTAGCGGAGGAGGAGGTGAGGGCGACAACGGGGGAAGTCGAGATCCGGATAGGGAGGAGGAGGAGGGCGAGGAGGAGGAGGAGGAGGAGGAGGAGGAGGAGGAGGAGGAGGAGGAAGGGTTGGGCGAGGACGACGACGACGTCAAAGATGGAGAAGAAGAAGATGAGAAGAGGACGACAAGGGTACCGAGGCCGTAGAAGAAGCCTATTTGGCTTTTTTTGCGACTGTTTTTTTTTTGTTCAATCAATCAATCAATCAATCAACGAGTCGAATCAAGATCGAGATTCTATTAAATCAACGAATCGAATCAATTCATTGATTGATTGATTGAGGAGGAGGAGGGTAGCGGAGGAGGAGGACGAGGGGATGGCGACGACGGGGGAAGTGGGGATCTGAATAGGGAGGAGGAGGAGGAGGAGGAGGAGGAGGAGGAGGAGGAGAAGGGTTGGGCGACAACGACGATGACGATGACGACGTCAAAGAAGAAGAAGGAGAAGAAGAAGAAGAAGAAGAAGAAGAAGAAGAAGAAGAAGAGGGGGACGAGGAGGAGGAGGAGGGGACGGCGACGACGAGGGAAGTTGGGATCCGGATAGGGAGGAGGAGGAGGAGGAGGAAGAGGAGGTGCAGGACAACTTGAAGGAGGAGGGTTGAGCGATGACGACGACGACGACGTCAAAGAAGAAGAAGAAGAAGAAGAAGAAGAAGAAGAAGAAGAAGAAGAGGAAGGGGTAGAAGAGGAGGAGAAGGAGGAGGAGGGGAAGGAGGAGGAGGAGGAGAGGGCGACGATGACGACGACAACGACGACGACGACGACGAAGAAGAAGAAGAAGAAGAAGAAGAAGAAGAAGAAGAAGAAGAAGAAGAAGAAGAAGAAGAAGAAGAAGAAGAAGAGGTAGAAGAAAAAAGTAGAAAACGAAGAAGAAGCAGGAGAAGAAGAAAAAGAAGATTCAAAGAAGAAGAAAGTTGAACAAACTTAAAAAAGTTAGAAAGAAAAAGAAAAAAAGTTGAAAAAACGGAGAAAAAAAGGAAGAAGAAGAAGAAGAAGACATGGTGGAGGAGGAGGAGGAGAAGGAGGAGGACGAGGAGGTGGAGGAGGACGAGGAGGAGGAGGAGGAGGTGGAGGCACACCTACCCGGGGGTTCGATGCTCCGCTGGAGAACGCTGCGCGGGGACGAGCGGCGGGGCAACCTGATTGTTCGTTCGAATTCGAACGGGGGACCCGATTGCCCCTTCCCGCCTGGCCGCCCGCCCAACCCCGCCCTCCAAACACCCCACCTACGGCCCCAAGGACCCACCCCGACCCTCGGAGGGCCTGTAACGCCCGCTCGACGAACATGTTCGTAGGCCTGCAAAAGTTGTTCGTGCGAACGGTCGAACGTCAACGAAAAAATTTCCCAAAATTAAATATTCATTCAATAGTAAAATTACATTCTAAATTTCAAATTTTCATTCCATCTTCAAAAATGTCATTCCAATTTTAAAATTTTTCATCTTACTTGAGAACTTTCCTTCCAAGAATGGGGTATCCCTTCTTATTTGAACTGCATGCTAGAG